CACCCTTTGTGTTAGGTGGTCGGATAATTTTGACGGCCACTGTTTATTAATACACAAGTTTCGTTTGTTCGACGCAATTATATTTTATTATTCATCAGCTTTGAAATAAGTTAAGTGAAATTACATAAATACATCACACTATTCACTCTGTTTCATATGAGTAAGGAAAATTTTCGCTTTTGCATTAAAGTTCGCACTGCACTAAAGATTGAAGCAAGAATTATTTATGAAGAACTAGCCTCTGTTTGTGGTGATGAAGCGCCTTCTCTTAGAACGATTGAAAGATGGGCTAAATGGTTTCGTGAAGGTCGAGAAGATGTGTAAGATCAGGTACGACCTGGTAGACCCATTACTGAAGCTACAGATGAAAATATAGAGCATGTTCGTAGTCTCATTAGTGATAATCCTCATGTTACAGTAGAAGAGATACAAATACAGAGCGGTCTAAGTTATGGTACTGTTCAGAGAATCATTTCTGACCATTTGAACCTTAAGAAAATTACTGCCCGTTATATACCGAAAAATCTGACCGCTACTCAACGAGCAGAAAGAGTCCGGATTTGCAAAGAGAATCTAGAAAAGTTCGAAAAAGATACATGGACTTTATAAGATGTGGTGGCAGGAGATGAATCATGGTTTTTTCATCAGCAAATCGGTCGAAAAGCGTCCAACGCTGCATGAGTGGCGTAAGATGATCCTCCACCCACAGTAGTGCGACGAAATTACTATGCTCTAAAAACGTTAATGTGTATCTTTTTCAAGTCGCTCAATCCCGTCTTAATCCATCTTGTTGAATATCGACAAACTATTGATCATGAATACTATATCGAAAATCGCCTAAAACCCGTTATTGATAAAATCAAGAAGCGACGACTTTTATCAGGCACATAACCAATTAAAACTCATCATGACAATAGCAGACCGCACGTCCACAAAGGTGTGATAACAAAACCACATGCACGTAATTCGCTAGATTTGGCATCATGCGACTTTTGGTTATTCGATTTTATCAAACAAAATATAGGTGATCAAAATGATACTGAATCATTATGCAATGCAATAACAGAATTCATGAACTGTTTGAGTAAACAAGAGTATAAAAAACGTTTGATAAATGTATTCAGCAAATGCGTCTGTGTGTGAACAATGAAGGAGATTATTTCGAACATTTGATGAAATGAAAACTGGGTTTATTGCTTCCTATTTTTTTTTCTGTTCTATCATTCAGTCATTTTGTATCGTTATATACAGAGGATTATGTATTAAAATAGATGAGAAAAAAGAATAAAGAAAAGATAGGAACAGAACAGAACAAAATCAATGCAAAAGCACATATTGAAAACGATACGTGCTAAAATTGTGAGGAAATACCATAGCGAAACATGTTTTTCGAAATTTTTATCACTATGATATTATATAAATAGTGATCAAATAGCATAGAATGATAGAGCTTTTTTCTCTATCATCAGGTAAAAAAAGACAATTTCTGAAAGCCTTTTATAAGATTTTTATGAATCTCCGCCACTATTTATGATATGCCCTAAGTAAATCATAATTGGAAGCATGTTTTCAGAAGAGTTTTTGTTTGCAAGTGTTGATGAATATAAATTTACTTGCGAAGCCATTGATTTTTCCTTAAAAATCTGCTCATTTGTCTTTTTTTAAAAATGACGTAAACAAAGCAAAAAAGGCGTCTATGATGTGTATATTTACGTCACGAGCATGGCGCATACACCATATATTTCGTTCTCTTTCTTAGGGGAGTGGGAAGATAATATAAATGAAACGAATAAACATGTGAGTGCGTTTATTGCCTGCAACCTGTATTTATCGATAGTTTATCGTTTTTCACGCCAATGAAATGCTGCTCCCACTGATCGTTGTGCTCTCGTTATTAATATATTTTTCTTTAAAATTCAAATATTTTACCCTTCGCGATAATCTGCCAGGTTTGTCGCCTCACATTCTCTTTGGCAATTTGATTCAATCGGGTATACTGCTGAACGGTGCGACCATTTCACAAGCCTTCACAGAGTTTAAACATCGCTTTGGAAACATTTTTCAATTCTGGCTTGGTCCTTCACGTTTGATTGTTGTGAGCGGTACTGGTGACGTGCAGCATATATTTACTCATCGACATGTCTACGATCAGGGTGATATATTTGTCAAAAAAATTAGTATTCTTATTCCCAATGCGTTAATTAACCTCAAAGGTCAGTTTTAACCATCTAATCGAGGAACTCTCATAAAATGATTTATAGGTTCCATCTTCAAGCGACATGCCTCACTAACTATGCCCTTGTTTCGCCATAGCAAGATTATCTGTAATCTAGATTTGATTATGGATACTACTGACAAACTATTGGCCAAATGGCGCCACAGTTCGTCTCAGACAGTGCATCTGGACATTGTTCACCAATGTCAAAAACTAATTCTTGACATTTTCGGTTCCATTGCATTCGACTACGATTTGAACACACTCGATGATGATAAAAACACAAGCAACAATGATATTTCTCGGGCGTTACAAGACATATTAGATTTATTTCAAAAAATCATCCGTTTTCCAGACATGATTATCACTATCTATTTGAAACTGAATGCCCGATATCGACGAGCCCAAGCAATCGTCGAACAATATTGTGATAGAATAATAGCACATGAATTAGCTCAAAGTCCTGAGACGATTGCACAACGGAAAAGAACATCATTGATTGCTTCACTTATTTGCTCAATGCAGCAAGACGAACAAGCAGAAGTAAAGAAAACTGAAGATGAGAAGAAAGGTCAGTTTGTGTACCTCAAAACTATATTTTTGTAAAAAAAATTGACAGGTTTGTCTCGAAGTGAACTGTTGGACGAGATGCTGTTCTTTCTGATCGCCGGATTTGAAACAGTATCCAGCGCTTTGTCTTGGTTCATTCATCATATGAGCAAAAATCCACAAGTACAACAGAAGATCAAGGCAGAATTGATGGATGACAATGATTATAAACGACCGTTATCATTGAATCGTCTTGATTCACTTGTCTATTTGGATGCTGTTATTAACGAAGTACTACGCTGTACTCCAATCTCTGATGGAACCTTTCGTACATTAACTGTCGATGATCGTCTCCCCAAGAGTGGGGTTCAACTATACAAAGGCGATCAAGTGTATATTTCCATTTACAGTCTTGCACGAGATCCTCAGAACTGGTCAATTGATCCAGAACTTTTCTATCCGGAGAGATTTTTGGAAGGAGGCAAGCCTCTTCATTCCTATGCATTCATTCCCTTCGGTAGTGGCCATCGTCAATGTATTGGACAAGATTTAGCTAGATTTGAGCTCAAGGTAATCGCAGCAAGGTTGATGCAGCATGTCACTTTTCATGATGGTGGTCCTCAAGTTAACTCGGGTGGACAAGTACAAACCATCACCATTATGCCGAAACATATCGGTGTTAGTATTACATTCGACTGATCAAATCAGACACTTTTGCTAATCCATCAGACCTAATAAACAGCGTGTTAGGTAGGATCGCACTTTTCTCTTATGATATATGTCGTATAGTGTGTTCTTTTCTCTCTCTTGCCGACTGACTATAGTACTGTCTCCTTTCTCTTATGCACAATATATGTAATCTAGCCCATTCTCTTCTTTTTTGTTCCTCTTGATTATTATTTAGTTTCTGTTCTCTTTACAAAAAAATTATCTTGATACTCGTGTTTCCGGGAAGCGCCTTACTCTTTCTGTTCAAGATCTGACCTTCATATTTCATTTAAGAGAGGGTCCGTTACAAAACCACCCAACCGTTCCTATAGATAGCGGGAATTTTTTTATTATCTTCGATTTTTATATCTCACACGAAAGGTCTAGTAGGTGGACTTGTGGTGTGGATGTGGGTCCCCACATCCTTATTAGACTAATCCGGCTGGTGATAAAAATGAACGGCATATTTGAAATCAGTATCAAAAACTGGATCGATCCATATAGTTCTCAAAAAGTTTTGAGTACATTTATGTTCCATTAAAAATTCAGCCGAGATTGGGTATGGGTGTGGGTGAATGTGGATGTGGGTATGAGTGTGAGGGTGGGTACGGATAATGGATCCACTTCCACTCACATTTCATTCACACATCCCAAACTCACACCCACAGGCCCCAAAGTTTCATCAAAACCGGAGATCATTTGTACGACATGACTGATATCCTATGGAAAAGTCGATAGATTATGAAGGAGTTAGAAGAACTTTTAAGTCGCATAAGCTATTGTGGATACCTTTCCAACATTCGTTCTTCATGCTTGTCATTCACACATATCAATGCAAAGTGTAAATTTAAGTTTTTGCACCTTATTCGTAGAGCCATTTTTTTCTTACAAGCTCAATTATCAGTGTTAATATCGTAGAAATAACAGACCATGCACGAATGATTTCAGTTTCTGTTTAGACCAAAAGCAATATTCTAGTGAGTAGTGTACTCGGTGTACACTACATCGCTATGATTAATGGTCTCGAGTAGAATTTATCTTCTAGAGCAAGACCATGTTCACTGTTTTGTTCGTTTTGATCAGTACGATTGTTAAATTTGTCGTATTCATGAAAATGAACGATAGACATTATAATTTCTGTGATGGCGTGACTAATGAGATTTTCCTCTCTGGCACTATTTATATATGTTGAAATTTTTCAAGTTTCATTTTTCCTTTCTTAATATGGTTTTTCGCAATTCACGTTGAAACACTGTCAGGGTGTGGGTGTAGATAAGAACAAAAGATCATCAACACTCACACCCATCCACACTCGTAGGATCGATCAATGCTTATTTACTCCATGCAACATATTCGGCACGTGGTTTATGGTGTTCATTTTGCTGCGTACTGTAAGTGATCGATTCAGAACGAACATGACGAAATAATTGACTACGACTTGAGGGTAGTGTGGGTGTGGGTGTTGATGATCTTTTGTCCATATCTACACCCACACCCACATATACACCTTGCTTTAATGAACGAAAGACGGCATCTGCTGCATATTGATCAAAATCATTTTGATATGCATGAACTTTCACAAAGAATTGATCTTTACAACCACTTGCTGGATGTGTTATTTCAACTTTTGAACGAATACGCAGTGGACTAAGAGTGAGTACTTCAACAGCAACATCTTTACGTGGGAATGCCATGAGATCGTATAATTTTGAACATGTTTGTTCAAATATGCCTCTTGCGAATGGTGTATTTGCTCCTAGACCTTGAATAATTTGTTGACCAAACAGTGATGAACTAATTTGTTCTGAACCAATAACCAGAAGAAGAATGATACCGATGAATTGCATGCTTCTGTTAATTTATTATCTAGAGTGATAAAAGACAGTGCGAGACACGAAACACACACATCATCCGTTTTAAAATAGTTGTGCAGGTACATACCTTTTGATTTTGTGTAGAGATCGTGTGATTTATGTTGTTCTTCTTGATTTTTTCGCTTGACCTTGTAAGAACTTTTTTGATTTAGCTCAGTCAAACTACTGCTTTATATATACTTTATTTTCTTATATAATATCATTTTTTTTTCATTATTACTTCTTCACTTATTTTTATTACTTTTGTAATCTTCTTTAGAAAAATTTTGAAGTAAATAAATCATTCTCTCACAAAACATCGATTACAAGCGAATCAATGCATATAGAATCTGCCATCATTACATCATCTAAGCGACTAACGAAGAACTCATAATCTGATACAATGTTGAATGTTGAACCCAGGAAGAAAACTGAACTCGCTATCGTTTTCAAAAACAAAATGAATCGGAAAACACTTTCACTGCAGAAAAGCTGATTTTGCCTGATGTTCGAGAGAAAATTGCTTCTATAATAAAGCCTTCAGCTTCTAAAGGATATTTGGTTAAACCATTATCTGGTTTCAAATGACACATCTCGTCGAAATCTATAGAAATTTGCTGGAAAACTTGATGTGAAGACTTAGGAAGGAAGTACCTGTATGATGTGAAAAACTCCAAAAGAATAAGGGCCCATAGGCCTTCCCTCCAGAGTCGTAGCTATTTTACTGGAATTTTAGCCTATAGTATGGTATACGCTAACAAATCGAATACGATATTTCGGTCTGAAATTTTGCCTGCAGATAGGTCTATTTGTAACTAGAATACCCTGAAATTTTCAACTAAAAGAAATGCTTTCTTCATGATATATCAAATTTTCAAAAAGACAGGAGACTTACATCTTTCATTAAATATGAGTGACTTTTGGGGGATTCGATATCTTGTGAAGAAAGCATTTCTTTTAGTTGAAAATTTCAGGGTATTCTAGTTACAAGTAGACCTATCTGCGGGCAAGATTTCAGGCCGAGATGTTATTATTTGATTTGTTAGCGTATACTGTGCTATAGGCTAAAATTCCAGTAAAATGTCTACGACTCTGAAGGGAAGGCCTATGGGCCCTTATCCTTTTGGAATTTTTCATATCATACAGGGATCTACTAGATCCACAGAGTTCGAACTCAAAACCGATGAATCATTTCGGGTACTTCCCTCGTTAGTATCGGTTCAAAAGATCTTTGGAAAGGTAGGTCCCGATACAAATCTCTAGGACCCTAGCGATTGTGCGGCTCTTTACGAACCACAGCATTAGAAAGACAGTCGAATTCTGAAACAAACTGAAACGCAACACTTTTACAGAATGAAGAGCACGCGAAAGAAGACTAGCAATGTCTGACTATTAACATCAAATCTTCAATGAATCTATACATATTTCTGTGAGATCTTTCATTTCAGACCAAAATAACGGTTCGATGACATGTGGTCTAGGAACTCGAAGTTTTGAAATAGAAGCCATTTTCGCAGAAAAGTAAGGAAAAATCAACTGTTCTTCTAGGGTATTAGGTTACATGTAACTTTTTCTTGAAAAAGATGACCAGGTCAGTTTCTGGTTATTTTTTTCAGCGTACAGCATTGCATCATAAAACTAGTTTCTCATTACTGGTGTAACTACTTTTTTATAACATGGTAGATTGCTATAGAATCACTCTAAACGTGAGTCACTAACAGAAGACTTTGGTTGGAGTCATAAATCTCATCGTACTTCTTCGATATTTATCACTATTGCATGAACCATTCGTGTTGAACTTTTACAGAGCAAATAATAATAAAGGTTTTTATCTAAAGATGTATGTCAATGCTGAGCGATATCAATTCTCAAACAAAAGAACACTTAGGACTTTGATATCATAAATATCATAACAGAATTTAAACAATCATAGAAAAATAAAAAAGTAGTCATCCTAAAGAGAAGGTCAGATAATAAACTCTGCATGTAAGAAATAAGAGGAAGTGAGAAAAAAAAATAAGCGTTACATTCTAGTGTTCTAAACCCTAAAACTTTTCAACAAAGATTTGGTGAACCAAATTTTTATTGGTTCAATGAACGGAAGGGGACGAGATGAGCAAGCAATAGATGGTAGAGTGGTTTGAGCTTATGGTAGGCTCAGATTTTCAACCAAATCAGCTCTGAGAGTGAATTGACAGAGTTTCTTTCAATTCACTGAAAACAGTATAGCACTGTATGTTTTCGTGCTAGATTTAAATTCTATAGAAATGTAATCACCATCGAATTCTTTTTGTGTCAAATGAAATAAAGAAATAACAGACTAAAAGAGTGATGTTTCTTAGAAAAATTTTTAAAAATTACCTAGAGTAAGTAAAACTATTTATAACCGAAAAATTTCTTTCTTTTTTGACTTTTCGAAATAAAACCAGAACAGATGCTGTTCAGATCAAGTAAGTCTATTTTTTCTTTATGAATATGAGAAATAATAACAAGATCTACGCGTTGTTGAGTCATTGTAAAGCCTAAATACGTTTTATTCGGTTCATAAAGCTAAAAGACAATTCAGTACATTCGTAAAATGCATTTTTACTAACTTGTTGTAGATTTAAAAACTCCAATATGGTAAGGGGTGTCCCAGAAGTTCTGAAACAATTTTATATATCATTGCTCTCTCATTGAATAAAAATGAAATCTTTGAGACTTTGACAGATTATAACACAAACTTAGTGCTACATAAGTACAAAGTTAGATCTCTATAGCTTTTACCATGGCTAAGAATCTGTAACAACACTTTCGTGCATTATCCTTTTTGGTTTTTCGCATCATTTTGGTCATTATTTTAAAAACGCTTTAACTATCAGAAGTAAAACAAGAAACATAAAATAAATAATCAATGTTCTCATATTTGATTAGCACCTTGATCGATTATTAATTTTAACCGAGCTGTTATGTCATCCATCATTCATTGACATAAAAGGTGTGGGTGTGAATTTGAGGATTGATGTGGATGTTCGTCTGGGTAAAGAGAGCAACACACCTATTTTCGATTTCAACTTAAAATAAATATCACGACTGCTGATAAAACTCTGAAAAAGGTAAATTTCAACATAGCAAGAAATAAGCATATTTTATTTTTCTTAGGTGTCTAAAAAAGTCAAATAACATTATGAAGCACAAAAACGACAAGCAGGCTGTGCGTGTGAGTGTAGCTATTTTCTTCACATATTCACGCACCCACACTCTCAAGATAATTCTTTATTGCAATCCTATTTGATCGATTCTTTTAAATGCATCTGATTACTAGAATGCCTTCATTGGATGCTTCAATTGCTTGGCAAAATACAGCAATAAAAAGTCTCATCTTTCGCTGGGCTATAGGTCTCATTATATTGTACAAAAATATTGTAATAAAATAATGCCATTGTCATTCTTTAGTTCTTTAAGTTTAAACCTCGTCCCTTCAATCATAGATATTGATTCATTCCTGGAGCAACAAAATGAACTATTTGTTTAATAGCAGCAAATTCCTTTTTCTTGCTTCAAGATAATATGTGGATATGGGTGTTATTCTTTTATTCACTCATACCCATCCTCATTCTCACTCTCAAGTAAAAAAAGAAAGCAATCGATTATATTTAATCATTAAAATGCAACTTAGTTACAAGTGAATTTCATAAAAAAAGAGAACTGATAGACGAAAAATAAATAAAATAGTTAGTTGTCTGTAGCATTGGAGATGAATTTAATTCGAAATAAACAAGTGCTATGTCATCATTTCATATGAAAATTTACCTGTTTTATTGTCATATGGTGACAAAGTAAATATGATCATATCGTTTATATCTTTCTTTTGAAAATTTTGTGACCATGTAAATAAATCCATTTGAAATGTTTCGTTAATGAATGTTAAATTTTTTCCATACCATTAGAATCAATTAAATTCAATGTATCTCTTATTTGCAAGCGTGTATCAACTTTTTCAGATAATAAACTTTTTAGAGTATAATTCATTTGAATTGTCTCACCAATTGATAATATATAAGGTTGATTTATCAATTCAATAGTAAACATTGTTGGTGAAATGAGTTGTTTTTCAATGCGTTGAATTCGAGTACCATCATATAATTGAAGCATTGTTTGAATTCGAAATGCTTGTCAAGAAACACGAATTTTTGTTACTAGTTCGTATCTGGTAGTTAGAACACTGTGTTTATAGGAGCAAATGATTTCTTGTTTCTATGTCTTCTCTTAATTACACTGTTCATTGAACGGACAGTTCATCCGTTATGCATCATTGTTCCAAGTCAATAAAGAAAAGTTTGTCAAGTAGAAGAAAACATAATCGAATACATAGATTCTTGTTTCCCTAAACTTTCTCAATCGGATTCACGTCAGACACTGATACATGATCAGCAATAGTTTAAAATGAAGTTCACCAATCTAATATTTATGATTTTGTAAATAACGATCCGAAAGAAATGTTAAAGTAAACAGAGTAAAAATTCGCGCTTCCGTTCTTTCCATCACAAACCGTAAGTAATGTCTCCAAATAGATCTAATCAAACAGTACTCGTATGACTGGTGACAATAATTACATTGTGTCTCACATTTTAATATCACAGAAATTGTTCTAACAGCTATTTTTATGCAGATGAAATAACTAATATCAATCAAATTGAATTGCTTACACTAAATATTTCAGCATTTTCATTAACTACAAATGTTATGAACACACAACATTTGTACATGTGGAAAATTCTACAACCAAATGTTGGCGCATGGCGTTTAACAGCATCAATATTTTCTCAATGGATCAATCCTAATGTTCAAATTCAAGGTAAATCAAGTGTTGTATGCTCATCTAGTCTACAAAAAGACATGGAAGGAAATGTAGATAGTAGTGGTTATACAGAATTTACCACAGAACATATTATTGATTCTGATTTGCTTATTTTAACCACATGTGAAAATATTAACTTTACTTATGCTGATATATCTCTTATCAATCAATCTGGTTAAGTTATTGAAACTTATTCACTGTTAAAAATCGATCAATTTGAAATAGTAACAAAAATTCGTGT